TCAGGAGTGACCAAACAGAAGTTTCCCTGTCTTTTTATAGGAGCAATAGCAGTCCTAATTCATAGGCCTCCTTTAAACCTCCCACTCTTCCTGCAAAGGCAAAAGCTCCTGCTCCCATTGTGCCCACCAGAATGTGCCTCTGCAGCACAGGGGGCTTTTTGGTGGCTGGAAACACATGGCTATGGATGCACTAGCGGCCATGCTGTGATCATCACATCTGTGTGTGCACATGTGCTCCTGGAAGCACTGTGGATGCTCCTTGCTTATCAGACTAAACCAAGCGGGTGAAGAGGGAGGGCAACATCACAGCTTTTCCACTCCAGTGGCTTCGATATTAAATTGTGTTTCCTCTACATTCCCCAGCAGTGAGATACTCATACCAGGTCTCCAGACAAATCAAATGGCTGAACAGGCAGTTAAAATCCTGGTTTTACTGCTGGGGCAGCATCAAATTTCCCCATCTTTACTGGGCCAATCAGTGAGTATGAAGGCTGTGGTCCTTCCAGATCCTGGCCTGGACAGAAGCCAGTGTCATCTGTGGTGTAAATTATAGCAATCCCAAACCAGACTGCAGCTGCTCAAATGCCACATTTATGTGAAGTCATTACCAACCAAAGACCAGGTCATGCACCCATGTATCCTAACCCTGAAGCCTCAGGAAAGATCTGCCTAGGTTGCTGTATAGGAATTATTCCACCCAAGGATGTAGCCAGTAAGGGCTGGTAGGAAGGTACTCATTTTTGATGATATCATGGCAAGTAAGGCCTTCCATAGCCTAAGAGGAAAATCATAGTGTTTTTAATTCAGAACCTACCTGAGATATGCTCTTGAGCTTGAAGTGCTTTCTGTGGTGTGCCCAGCTTCCTCCTCCAAGGATTCTCTTTTGGGAGTCAGTACCCATCAGTCTTCTTCAAACATCAGCCCTTTGCTCTCCATCAGACATGCTGCAGGTATGAGTACATTACCATGTACTTGATGTATTTCTTTCAAATTTCCCAAATTTGGAACAGGGACTACTTGAGCAGATGAATCCAGGGAATGTTGAGAACACATCTTACTTGTCCTGGAACTGATTCAAACTTCTGAAGTAGCACTCTGCTGGGTTACCTCAGATCCAGACCTGGTTTCACAATCACCAACCTTCTTACTATATTCATCTACCAGAAAACAGAGAGCGTTACAGTTCGGTACAGTCATAAACACATCATTGCCAATGGGAAATTGTGTTGGCAGATTCTTTCATACCCAGCCAAATATACAGAAATGGAAAGGTCAGCTATGCAGGCACTGGTTTTACATATGTGCATTAATTACAACACAGTTGCCTTTTGTTATTCATTTCATTTGCTTAATATGTATCAAATTGAATGAGAAGAAAGAGGGTCCACAGAAAGACAGAAAAGGGAAGCCAGGACAATCTATGAATGGGAGTGGTCCTTCCTTTCTGGATCACACGTTGGAAAAGATTCAAAACTAGTCAATTGCAGGGAATGGGAAAAGCAAAGAGAAATGTATCCCATGTCAGCTGCAGCTTTTTCTATGAGGCTTTCAGAGCTCTGCTGCAGAGACACTAGAATAGTTCAGTGGGTTTGGCTTCTTGGTGAACCCCTACAATGGAGATTATCCCAAGCAAGGTCTGTGTGCTCAGGCACCCTAGTATGTTAGCTTCTTCTTAGGTATACAGACATGGTCCTGATTTTAATTAGTCAAAAACCTTTATCATGAAGCACCATGACAGACAAGCACTTTCTTTTTGGGGATACCTGCCCTCAGGCAACACTGGAAACTGTGAGAGAGTACTGAACAAGGTCATCAGAAAATTCAGAACACCAATTTGCATTCATGTGTGGATTGAAAACTTTTGGTTATGAGTGTCTGAAATGCAGACAGCATCCTGTAAAATGTGGCTAAGAGGCTGAATACAACTTTCACGATTCTAGCCTGTGTACTATTTTTTTCACAGATATATTGTAACTGTGTATTTACCCGACAGTGCAGTGCCCAGATACCCTAGGCAAAAGGATTTCCACTGTCAAAGAAGCACCACAGAAGTTGTCAGAACCTGGTTGTTCTCTTCCCAGAACAAGAAAGATGAATGCTGTGAAATAATCACAGAATAGGATGCAACTTCCCCAGGGAGGACACAGTAATGAGCATGAGCTCTGCAATTAGACTCGCTGAGACCAAGTTACCAAAGCCTCCCAGCCAGCCTCCCATCCTCCTTCTGCAGCTTCATGTAGTGTCTCATGGTGTTGAGTTTTGGGAGTCCCCACTGCATGCACCTAGTTAAACCCTTTTAGTCACAGGAGATTTGTTCAAGTGAGGAGAGCTTTCTGCTGTGCTATGGCTCCCTAAAACCCCTGAGCCTGGGGCTACCAGGATTGTCCAGGAAATCACAGTACTGCAAAAGAGAAAAAAAATTGCAGTTAATAATTGTAACTAAAAAACTTACAATTAATAATTGTAACTAAAAAACTCAGATGATTAGTACAAAGTGATTTCTTCATGATTTAAAAAATGCATTTCATTAGATATTTATGAAATAAGCTGTATAGCCAGCCCTGTACCAGGACTTCTCCTTTCTGGTCTTTTAGGATTACCCAAAAAAATGGCTTTGCTGACTGCTGAGATAGTCATTTCACAGGACGGCTCAGTCATTTGGTATATGCTGGAAACTGGTATTGACTTGTAGGAACATGAGAGAAAAGTGGCAATGAGCTTGAACCTTTTTGGCAAGTAGTTCAATAGACCTTTTCCCTGAAACTGTTCCTGTCTCTTCCAACCTATCCTGCAAGAACTCCAGATAAAACATCGAGTCCAGGGTGAATACAAATTGGGCTGTGCATTTGTAGCAGTCTGGTTGAGATCAAATTAGCATGGATTTTCTTTAATCCTTTGATCTATATGCCATGCAGGGGGGCAGGCATTTACCATAAGAAAGGTGGACTATCATATTAAAATTTTCCTTGTACTCTTCATTGGTGTAGGAATTTCAATTCATTGCAGAGCCCTACAAGAGCTGCACTGATATCAGCCTGACAGGAGGTGCCTCGTCAGTAAGCTACATTTTAGAGTTTCCCCATGGTGGGATTCCTGCAGCCCCCAAAACAATATTAACTCTATGCACACAAGCAGTAACATGATGCCTCTACCCTGTTCTCTGTAGGCTGCAATTGTCTATATGCTCTACACTTTGCTGGCCTACTTCTAGTTAGCATATTTTGTATGCTTTTAAGGGATGGGCTGAATCTTGATTAGATACTTCCTTGTATGTTATCACAAGCAGATGTGGGGTAGTTAAAAGTTTCTTGGAGTAACTGTTTACTAATTTGGTGCAAAATTAAGTAACCATACAAGAAACTACTGTTTAGCTGCAAAAGCACAACTAAATAACAAGGAAGGATTTGGACCTTGCATGCCTCCCTCACCTGCTGCTAGCTGAGTGATGTGTCAGAAGCAGGTAGCAGCTCTGTGGTGCCAGTACATCTTTATATGCTGTTCACATTCCATTGCAACATGTCACATTTGATATGGCATAATGCAATGTGACTAATTTAATCAGATGTGAAGTGCACTACAGCAAGCCTGAAAATTTGGAAAAAAAAATAAAGTTGGAGGAAAAATATAAAGCTTTCTCCAGTCTATGGTTGGATTATTTTTCTCAGCTGGAGGGCTTCATTTTCTGAGCTTGGCCTTTTCTATTCTGACCTTCCAGCCAAGGGCATGTGTCAGGAGGCTTGTATTTCCCAAAGGCAGTGACACAGTCTATTAGGTCATATGAGCTGGATCATCAAGCCTTTGTCCACCTCAACTTCTGGGCCACCATTCCTTACCCACCCCCACATCCCCCAGCACTAACTCATGATATGATGCCCTTGCCTTTGACAGGTCGGGAGGGGAAAAAGCATTTTATTGCTGAACACGTACATAGCAGAGCCCAGAAATGAAGCGAGCTTTCTGCGGTCTGGTGCTGCTCACTTAGTAAGTCTGCATTTAATTAGCTACTTCTGAAATAGGACAAGGAGAAAACACAAGATTTACCAGCCCAGTTGCATTTCTAACCCAGGGCTCAGCATTGTTTTGTTTTAAGGTGATGATTATAATCATAAATACCAAAACAGCCCATGTCCACAGGAAGTTCATCAAGCTTTCAGTGCTTTTGGAAAGTGTATCCACCCTCATCCATTCTGGACTGTCTCCTAACCTGGGAGTGTGCAGATGGACAGGCTGCCATGCACAGACATTAGCAACTTTGCCCTTTCAAACACCAAGTGACAAGTGACTCGGCAATGATTCTTTCTTTGTTTTAGATCTGCTTCTTCTCTTTGTACATCACCAAGTGTATGGAAGGCAGTGCAAATAATAATTTCCTTCTTCTTCACTATAGACCTGAAGGGTTTTTTTTGGTGAAGTGTTGTGGTCCTCAAAGAGTTGTGAAAAGGTCTCAGAGGAACACATATAGTGCTAGAAGAAGTCCAAAAAACACTTAAGCCAGTGAAAATTATGAGCTAGTTGAACCTAAGGGGGTGTGGGGGGTGCTGAACAATGGTCACATAGTCCAGAAAGAAAACTGTATTTTCACAAGATCTGGGAAATGGTGCCCCTGGAAGAGAGGAAGAAATACCTACCCCGTTACTGTGGCAGACACTTCCATAGAATAAATAATAAAACTGAAGGAAAATCTTAGAAAACAGTAGGATAAAACATGCTTATATGTTACGAAGAAGTAAAAACTGTTTATTCTACTCTTGTCCCTGTGCTGAGCATACCTCAGCCAAAGGAGAAGCTCACCCTTCCTTTTTGCCTCCTTGAGGACCAAGGAAGCTTTGTGATGGTGGGCTCCTTTAAGACCCAAACAACATAGGCAGGTTTTGTGGTCTCTCTTCTCATTTCATCAGGCCTGGAAAGGCTTTGCTGATTACAAATGAGAAGATGCTGTGCTAGCTCCTCCTCCACTGGTTTGTTTGCTTCTTATAGCCCTAGTCCTTTCCACCTGTCTTAGCAGTGGAGTTACCACTGTGGTCCTACCAAGGAAGAAGGAAAGAGGGCCCTTTCAAAAAGGAGTAGAGCTAAATTGCAAGGTAAGGTCTGGTCATGCTGGAGAAGGGCTGTTGGTGTTGAATTAGCCCTAAGACTACTTTGTGATGTATGAGGTAAACTTGAGCTTTTACAGCTCTTGGACTCTGTTTCCCATTTTTTTTGTGAAACTGGTAACTTCATGATAGGTTCCCCTGTTCACTGACGTTTACCCTTAGCTTTAGGTGGACCCTATTCAAATGGCTCAACAGAGCAGCCTGAGAGCCCTGGGTCCCCCTGTGGAGGAGGATGCTGCAGCAGATAGCCAAACCCAGCAGCCTGCCAGACCTCGGCCAGGTAGATCCCGGAGAAGGAGGCGTAGACAGGCAGCTCTTGCATCCCGAGGAGAAGATGAACCTAGGACCGTTCAAGGTGATCTGTGAGAAAGGCGTGGTAGTATTGGCTGAGGAGGGGGATGAGTGCTACTTAATTTCAATTGCTATTCCTCATTTGTCTTCTTGTCTGTATTCACATAGGAATCTTGTCTGTATTCACATAGGAAGCTCCCTCAAAATAAGACTTCAAAAGTAAAAGAGCTCCAGGTGACCCCACTGTGGCTGTCCTGTTAGCATTTTCAGGGCTGCTATTTATTGACCTGCACAAAATTTTGTTTTGTGTCCTTGCTCTGGCTCTCTTCTCCAAGAGCTAAAACCTCCTGTTAACTCACAAACAAAACAGAGAAATAGCATCTTAGAGGGCTTAGTCGAGAATTCCTTCTTTTATGTGACATATGTCTGGCTTTGAAACTTTACTCAAGGCATCTTTATACAGTGCTTGGAGTTCAGGCTAATTCACTATGGTTTGAGTGGAGTTACTTGCCAGCCTCAGCAGTGTTACCCTTCCACTGTACATATTGGCTCTGCAGCTCACCAAGAGCAAATGCCATGTAGCCTCTACTGGGTTTGTACCCCCCCAGTGTGGCTTAGAGATAGAGAAGGAGCAGCACAGTAATTTCCTACTGGCTGTTGTCCTGAGGAACCCAAAGTCTTCTTTGCAGCAGAACTGCAAGGCAAGGATGCTGCCAGGTGTCTTTGTTATAGGCAAAGGCCTAGGTAGGCAGCTAGCTTCCAGACCTTACAGCCACCTTACAGGTACAGGAAGCCTCCTTCTAAATTGCAGAGATTTTTTAATATATATAAACCTCCTCTCAGGAGGAGGCAATCTTCCTGGCCAGCTCATGGAGAATTCCAAACTCCCTTCTGTGCTTGCAGTTCAGAGTGATGGGAGTTCCTGTAGCCTGGGAGCAGGTTTGATGGTGTAACACAAGCCCTTTTCAAAGGCCACAGCTGGGCCTTGATAAAGATTGTCTGGGAAGATTGTGTAGCAATATTTCAAGGTCAAAACTCCCTTCCCTTAGTACTTCTGAGATGATAGAAAGAGAAACCAGGAACAGGTATACTGGAGGGGTGAGGATGTGGGAGGGGCAGAGGTGATAAAAGGAGTTAAGAGTAAATCAAGTGAGTTAATCTCTTGAATGAAAGGTAAAATACAGTATTGAAGCTCAAAGAAAGGTTTGTAGCTAGATTTTTACCTTTTTTCAAATTTTCTTTTTCTTGCTCTAGTCTTCTGTTAAAGCGAGCCTGCTAGATTGATTGCAGGACTATTGCAGTGGTTTGTATGGAGCTGGAAGAACACTGAAATCCAAGAGCATTGTGGTCATTTTCCCTGGCTTTAGTTCCAGCCTTAGTTAACCAGAGCATGAGGTTTCTCAGCCCTTACTGGGAAGACAGGAAGGGCAGTTTTCACAACTGTAGAGGCCAGCAAAATGGAGTGCAGTTAATTCTTAATTCTGACCTTGGAAAAATGATGCTGAGTCCTGTGATAAACAATTTATTTTCTCAAAGGCTTAGGGTGAGGCTGGGGGGAAGTGGTATGAGACACCTTTAAAATATTTAGTGGTTAGGTAATGTAAGGCCAATCAGCCACGAGCTTTTTCTTGGCTTTGGATCTTTCTGTTCTGCTTGATCTAATCTTGTTACTTTCCCCTGCAGTCTACAAATTTAGCAGTCGTGCCCCACCTGTGAGCGGGCACTGCAGCGGTGGCGGCTCTCGGAGACCCGAGCTGCCTGATGATGGAGATGTGATGGGAATGATGGCCAGGGCTGCGGGATACTGGGTGAGGCCAGAAACTCCTCGGTGCTGGGTCAGAGGCTGCGCTTGTGCTTGCTCGGAGGCTGCACGAGAAGAAGGCCATCCCTCTGGGAGCCGTGTACTGCCATCTGAGCTGGATGAAGACGACAGCTTGACCTCCATGATAAGAGAGGAATTATTTTCAGTGGATGAAGACCATGATGGCAGCACTGGGGATACTGGAGCAGCCAGCTCTCGGGCTGGTGTTAGGAGTGATGATGGTGCCAGGAGTTTAGCAGAGGAGTATTCCCTGGTTCCCTTAAACAGACGGAAGCAATGTTCTGCCCAGAGTTTTCATGATGCTGTAGAAAGATTTTTGAGAGGATTCTGAGCTTTGGCACATCCATTTTGAATTTGGGAGCCAAATCTGTGGAGATGCAAATGCCTGTCATCATGTGCAGAGTTTATTGTAATACAGGCTGAAGCCTGCAGAGAAGCCATGAAGGTTCAAGCAGAGTAAAGCTCAGTATATTGCTCTTAGATTGATAGACAGCTAGAAAGTTATTTGCATTCCAGTTTTGTCTCCTTGATATGTGTTGCTGCCTTCTTCAGGAGCTTAAAAACCTTTAGTAATCATAAGGCATTAAAAATGGAAAAATTACTTTGAGTCTAAGCTAATGTAATGACTATTTCTTTTGCAATTTTGAGAGATAGAGGCAAAATGCAGCTTTTTTTTTTATTTCTCAGCAGTAGAGTCTCTATTTAATAGCTTCTTGAAGGATATTTGAAATTCAAAGCCTTTGTTTATGCCAGTATTTCCTTTCACTAAATGCTTTAATTTACCCTATAGAGGCCTAGAGGCTTTGGTGGTTTTTTTTGTGTGTTTTTTTCTTTAACTTGATCTAAATCTAAAAATTGTATTCTGCTGCATATATTTGATTATTCATATATAAGCAGTTATGTATGATAATGTGAAATAGCTAGAGCACAACCTGCTTAAAAAGTCGCACACCCTTTAGCTGTTAACTTGTCACATGAATTAAAATAAAAAAAAATATATATTCTGAGTACCTTATTAAATTTTTCAGTTATTTTTTTGAGGTAGTGTGTAGCTGAAAATAATGATCTGGATTTCTCAGCTGAGAATTTTGGCTTAGATATTTTTTCTTTATTTAGTTAAGGGCTAGATTTTAGGAGTATATACCTTAGCCTAACAGTAAAATGCTAGTGCATGGTTACTGGAAAATGGCTATACTTCAGGAACTTGATCCATGGGGATCATTGAAGTCTAGCTCCTGGCAGAGACGGGCCCCAAAAATCCTACTAGATGCCAGAGAATATTGTCCAAATGCTTCCTGAGCTCTTTCAGGCCAGTTCTGTGACCACTTCCTTGAGGAGCCTGTTCCAGTGCTCAAGCACCCTCTGGGTGGAGAACCTTTTCCTGTCTATAACCCAAATGTCCCCTGACATAACTGCATGCTGTTCCCTCAGCTCCAGTTACTGGTGACCGAAGAGAAGGGCTGTGGACTGCTTTGAGGTTTGCCTTCAGTCAAAGGGAAAAAAAGACAGTCCATGTTATGGAGATTCTGCAGACATTTGTGTTCTTATGAATTGTACTGACAAATTAAACACTCAACCTCTAAAGGCTTCTTGACTTTACTTAATATGCCTACCCTTGAGTCACTCTCCTCCTTTCACACTGGAGGCTGTATGAGATAAACATCACATGTGTGTAAAGTTGCACTAAAGAGAATCAAGCAACTTTTGCTTTATGCAATTGTTCAAACTGGAAAAGGGCTGCTGCTTTAGTCAGAGCAATTTGTAGAGTCTGCAAATTTGAGGTGTGGTGTTGTTTGTTTTGGGGTTTTGTTTGTTTGGTTTTTTTTTCCCTTCTCTAGCCATCTGTTAGAGTATTGGAAGATGAATGGCAATCACATTTGTTTTTGGGAAAGGTGAATGAGACTTGGTCTTTGTTCCCTCTTCATTTGAGCCCCAAATTAAGTCTCACTCCTTTGAGTTATAACTGAGCAGCTTTGTAGAGTAAATCACATGAAATTTTAAGTTTTGTGGGTTTTTTTATCCTGCATGTGTGGTTTGTTGGTTTGGGTTTTTGTTTGTTTTTAAGACTATGCTTAATTACAGTGAGATTTTTTCTTTACCTGTTAGTAAGGCATTTGGCAAATGTTTGGGACCACCTTGTGCAGCAGTGGTCAAGCATGTGATAAAAAACCATTGGGGCTATGCAGCATAGTAGTGGTTGCTTACAGCTTCTTGATGTGTGTGTTATTTTCTACTTGGATGTTTCCAGAAATACTTGGAGCTTTTGCAGTCAGGTCTTTTAAGGCCTCTAGACCAAAAAATGGAAAAGTTTCCCCAGGTGAAGCTAATAGTGTCTTTTATTTGGTCCATATTACACCAAAACAGTACTGGAAGTATGCATAGCTCAATTCACCTGACAAGCGTGCTCTGTGAAGGTACTGCAGGGTACGATGCAGAACTGAAACTATTATCTTGTTGTTGTAGCTGAAATACTGTAAGGCATCTACAGACACCTCTAAAATTATGCCCTTGATTATATAAATTTCAGAAAGTGATATGTTCATGAAAGTCAGCCTGGCAATGTTTCATGTAGTCTTTCAAGAGCTTTAGTTCTCAGGCTCATGAAACGTTTTATTTTTTTTTTAATAAAACAAAACCCCCGCATAAATGTCACCAGTAGGTAGTAAGATACCAAGCATTGTAGAGGTGTCAGCTTTTTGACAGCATGATTCAGTATTGTGCATTTTCAATTTGACAACTATTTAGTTTTGCCTTGTGGATCTGAGATCCTGTAAGCATTTTTGTGCATACTTGTCTGTTTTTCACAAATGAGTCTAACAACTGGGATTTTTATCACATGTTGAGTTAAACACAGGTAGAAAGGTCTGAAAGATCAAGACCTCTGAGGAAAAATCCTCTTGTGGTAACTTCTGAGGAAAGAAAAGCCTGTGAGGCAATAGCTTGAGATATCTTCTAAGAAAAATAGAACAAGCAAAGCTGAGGAACAGCTTGGAAAAAAAACAACCTGTCTCTTGAAAATAATGGATCAGAGGGGATAGCATGTTTTTTCTTTGAGAATTTGAATTCCTGTACTCATTTTGCATTTGGCTTACACTTATCTGTCTGTTTGTATGTATGAGTGAAGTCAAGGAGTTCAGGACCAAAGTCCAGCGCTGAGTAGCAGCTCCCATGAGTCCAGAGTTTTCCATGTTGCTGGGCTTTAAATCATCATTTTCTTCCAGCATAGTGGTTATAATGTCTCATCAGCTCATTACATGGGCACAGTAATAAAATGGCAAGATTTATTTTTCTAATTATTCATCCTAGATAGTTTCATAGATAAAACAAAGTAGCACAAAGCTGGCTAGCCCTTAGAATATGAATGCATCAGGGTTCTATGTACATGATCTGTCTACATTTTAACTTTTACATCACTGCAGCATCACCACAGCTGGCACCCTTCCTTGATCCAGCCAAGAGAACTTGAGTATCTGGATGCCAGAGGACTGTTTGCTCTCTCCAAATTTTTCCTTCTTTTTTTCTCCATTTGGCTTCCTTTTCTGGGTCTGATCAAGGATCTGCGGAAACAGGTGTCCCAGTGGGGCTCTTTTATACCTTGCCTACATCTGTAGAGGTATCTGTATTTTCTTCAACTAAGAGCTGGCAGGAATTGAGAGGTTTGAGAGAGGAGAACAATCTCAGTGAACTTGGAGACCAGACTAAAATCTCTTGAGTGCAGAGGCTGTCTTTTTACTGCCTTTCCATCATAATTAATTCAGTGGGGCCCTGATCCATGACTGGGGCTCTAAAATAATATAAATTACTGTGACCTGTTGGAGTGAGTTCAGAGGAGACCATGAAGATGATCAGAGGGCTGGAGCACGTCTCCTGTGAAGACAAGCAGAGAATTGGGGTTATTCAGCCAGTAAAAGAGAAAGTTCTGGGGAGACCTTAAAGCAGGTCTGCAAGAGAGCTGGAGCAACTTTTTACAAGGGAAATTGGTGAGGAGAGGATGGGATGGTTTTAAACTGAAAGAAGGCACGTTTAGATTAGATACTAGGAACAAATTCTTAGCTAAGTGAGAGTGCAGAGGTGCTGGAACACGTTTCCCAGAGAAGTTGTGGATGTCCCACAACTGAAGGGTTCAAGGTCAAGTTGGATGGGGCTTTGAGCAACTTGGTCTAGTAGGAGGTGTTCTGCCCATTGCCATGGGAGTTGGAACTGAATGATCTCTAGGGTTGTTTCCAAGCCAAACTATTTTATGATTAATTAATTCATTTCAGTAGTGTCCTTTCCCACATTCAGCTGACATGTAGAAAGACAGTTCAGAATATTCAAAACTACTGATGTTTTTCTGAGTCTTTCTCTACAGTCAGTGGACTTTTTGTCATTGCTCTGAGCAAAAAAAGCAAGACAATATCTGTAAAGGATCAGGAGCTATGGTGTTTTGAGGGTTTTGTCTATTTAAACCAGTCTCTCCATGCCCACTTAGAAAGATCCAAAGAGCGTTTGTCAAAGTGTTAGCTGAAGAGCTACAAATAGCATTTTATTACTTTCTCCCTACCTCCTCCCCCCAATAACTCTATTGTTCTTATAAATCCACAGCATTCCAGCTGTGCCTTGACAAGAGCCCTGACAGTCGCAAAAGCCAAATCACAGGAGCGGTGTTCTTGTTCCCTGAATTATTTTACACAGCTAAATTTAATACTTCCCCCCACTCCTCCACCTTTCACTCTGGCAGGTAGTTAAGCTGCAAATTAGAGATGCGCCGAATTAGCCTTCAAACCTCGCAAATGCTGTCAGAAAGCTGACTCTGTAACGATGTGGCTTTGATAGCGGGCAGATTATTGCTTATGTACAGCAGCACTTACAAACATGTGTGTGCTTGTAGCTCCCGGCCCCGGTGCTCCCCGCGAGGCAGCCGCGCGTCGTTAACGCGGGACGGAGCCGCGCGCGCCCCGCCATCGGCACGTGGAGAGGAAGAGTCAGACTTTCCAGCAACCAGTTGGCAGGGCTGTGGTTGGAACCATGTGACAGTTTGAGGCAACGTACCACAGGCAGCCAATTTGTTACATATGGCAATATGATTAATGGTATCAAATGTTTTTATAAAAATTAAAAAGTCCAAGGATATTGCAGCGGCCAATTGCACGGAGTCCAAGGCAGTACAAATCTGTTCCATGAATTTAAAGGCAGGCAGATGATGTTAAATGAGAGGGAGAGAGCCAAGATAATGATTGCAAAGTAAGTTTCCAAAAGAAAACTGTGTAGAATGTGCTCATGAGCAACAGCCCCTTTTCTCTTCTGTCTTACGTCCTTAATGGATATAGGCAGGAATGAACTAAACTGTCTCCTCCTCTAGGTTGAGAGTCTCCTGCTCTCTTCCTGTAATCCAAAGACTCATTAATTGTATCCAACAACACTTACAGGGCGAAGAAGAGGCAAAAAGGACTGTCATTTTGATGAAGACTGTTTGCTTTGATAATGATTTTGTCTTTTTTTTTTTAAATCAGATGTTCTGGCTTAATACACAGATGGTTTGTTTCTGTCAAAACAAACAAAAGTGTTAAAGGTACTATTATTGAGAGGAAAAAAAATCAGGAAATGTAAGTGTGGAAGTGATGTCTGCACAATTGCAAGATCTTTCTTCCCTGTCTCCTGCTGTCCATTCTGCTGAGTCAAGAAACTGTGGTACAATTTTGGTCTGTGTCAGGTGCCCAGACAGGAGCTGG